GCGATGATGAGCAGGGAAGCGTTGGTGCAGTGTTGACGGAGCTAAAGATGGTCTGCATTGCCATTTGCATCCCACTCTCTCGTCACCCCCTCCAGAACATTATCATTTGGAGGTTAAAGCATATATTCCTGCTTCCCTAAAGGTCCGATAGGAAGGAGACAGAGTACATAAGTGGACTGTATCACTATTAGCTTCCCACCTGAGGAATCAAAGAGCTGGGAGAGATTTCACAGACCAGCGGCAAATAGAGACTATCTTAAAAGAGCTTTACAGGTGGGAAGGTGGGACTTGGTAATTTATATGACCCATGCTGCGTCCCAATTCGCATACTATCCGTCCTAAATAGTATTCGAAAATAGAATTAGTACGTCCCAAATCGTAGTATGTTGAAATGAGTGTCCCAAAGAGACCCGGATGGTCTACTATATCCGGTCAGAATCCGAAGTGCAGATCGATGCGCACTCTAACGGCTGATATTGCCCACAACCCATCGCGCGTTGGACGAGGATTCGGTTAGAACTACAAACACGAATGAAAAGTGTTCAAAAACTACAGACATGGAGGACGCGCGAGTCCGACGGTTATGTAGAGAGGTTTAGATAAAGGGGTTTGAGTGATTAATTATAAGTATCTAACCTGACGAAAATGTATTTATTCAATGTTGTCCACATTATATTGCATATGCAGCAGCATTGTGAACTTTTGCAAAGATACGTTTAGCCATTAACTTTTAAATGCATTATTATATTCAAATTCCAAACACATGAGGATAGTCTCCGCATGAAAGACCCACGACTGGCAGATGAACGTGCGACAACAATTCTCTCCGAAATGGTAAGAAGTTATATTAGATTGAATGGAGGATTTTAACTGTGACGAGATGATTGACAGGGCAGTTTACGGTGATAGGATGCACGCGACAGATCTGTCCGTTAAAGATGACGAAGTAGTATGTCCCAAAGCTTGCCTACTCTTTTGCTACACACTCAAAAGTATGTACTTTTTCTTCACAAAAAGAGTACGTACTTTTAGGGCGTAGTATAAGTAGGCGAATTGGGACGCAGCACCACTCTTTCTGTGGCTTAGCAGCTGATGCAGTGTCTCGTTCCCTTCTCAGGGAACCAGTTACATATAAAATCACTTCAATAACTTTTCAATAAGGCCAGCTGTTTTTTACATGGAACAAAAAAAAAGAAAAGAAAAAGAACTAAACTCCACATACATCTTAGCTGAATCCCAAGAGGATAGTGATTAGAGAGAAAATAGAAAATAGTGTGTGAATATCTGTGAATGTTATTACCACATAGATTTTTAAAATGTTCACATTGTCATTTTTGTTACGCATGGCTACTAAAAGGAAGCGCACGACGAAGGAGAATACTAGGAAATAGTCTTTTATCCTACAATCTTACTGAACACTCTGGGAAACAGATTATCAACCATTAAACATAGACAACACCGAACAAAGAACTGAATGAAGGCGGGACTTAAAGCTGCAGTCCGGCATTTTTCCTCTTTGTCGCCATCTCTGTTCGAAATCTGCAATTGCAGTCATTCGCGGAATTATCAACTTTACGTGGGTTGTAGTTCAACACCCTCGACACGGCACAGCGCGGATGAACACAGTGTTTGAGGAGAGTGTGCAGCTGTCAGTCGCCGCGCCGATGTGGATATTGTCATTCAGAATCACAGATTATTCTTTTTGGAAGTATGACCAACATAAGAATTTTCACCGGGAAATGTCATCTGAACTAGTAAGAAACATTCACTTTTGTTCTGGTTCTGACATTGCAGTAAATCGCGCTGATTAAATCTAACAATTGCTTATAAGTTATCATTTCACGCAAAACCGTGCAAAGTAGCTATACTATGTTCTCTAATTGTTAATGTTAACAACGTCAGCAAGCATTGCGTGACTACATCATGTAATGTCCTTCCGATATTATCCTTGTTTTCGCATGGGTTTTGTTTTGCAGTCTCTTTCTTTCTGTAGCCACTCCGAAGTCCGAACGAAGTCTTTTGCATTTTACAGCGGGTGAGTCTCTAGTTGTCACTGATGATGATCGTCGTTTGAACCTTTCTGGATCCGCCATCAAATTGATAAGTGTAATTATATCAAGTGCTGTGAGAAAAGGCTATAAATCTCTACCTCCAACATCCTCACACGCAATATAGCTTATACTAGCCGAGACTCCTTCTTTATGTGTACAGATGTGACGTAATGACGCAAAGACATGCTCGAATCTCCCGCGGAAATCCACCAGTACCACTAAAATTAAAAACATTATTACAAGCTTACCGTTTTGCATCGAGCTAAGGCAAGCAGATAGTTTTGAACACTGGCTGGTTATGTATTTTATCAAATATGTATTTTGGATAATTTTTAACCCAAAAAAAGCTACGGACAGCAGCTTTAAATACACAGAGGAACAAAAGAGCTAATTAATTGGGCAACAGGTGAACGAGATAATCAAATCAAGGGAACAAACTGGCACACACTAGGAAACTGGGTCACACAGGCAAACAGGCACAGAACTAAAACACAATGAAACATGGCCAAAACAGAGGAGAATATGATAAAACAGTTACAATATTCTTGAGAGTGATAAAGGTAAATAGATTTGGCTTGCTGTCAGCAGTAGAAGAGCTCAAGGAGAAGACTTGAGCTCTTAGTTCCCACCAGACTATGCTAGTTAATTAAAAGGCTATAACAATGGAGGTGAAGTTAAGAGTTGTGTATCGACAGGATCAGATGAAAATGCTCCTCCAAAACAATATCCCCATTATTCCTTGCCATTTTGGGAATAATGGGGATGTTGACCAAAGAAGAGAACTTGCTGTGTATATTAAAAACTGCACAAAACACTGCACATAATCTACATCTAATGGTAGTTTATAGGAAAATATTCATCTGAGCTAAATGATGTAGATTATGTTGTCTAAACATAGAAGAACGGTTTAATAGATGAAGAACACAAACTCAGCAGTTATTTAATATTAATCTTTATTAACTTACCAAACAAACAAACAAAAATATGAGTACATATTTAAGAGCAAGTGTAATATCAAAATATGTTTATTTTTTACCACAAAAGTTTATCTAGAATGAAGGCAATTTAGATCAAATAAAATATTAAAATAAAATAAAAAATCCGATCAGGTTTTTTCTCTCCAGAATATGAATTTTCTGGTTAATTATGTAATTTCCATTATTTATTCAAAATGACTAAAAGTCACAACTTTCAATGCATGCCAATAAAAAAGATTTTAAAAAATCTTGATGGAGACACGTCATATATGATAGTGATGGAGGGTTTTCAAAGCAAACATAACCATTTAGTTATGGTATTATGATAATATTACAGTAGAGGAAATGTGATTTAGTATATAAACAGAGTTACACATCAAGGCAGTTTCACAGGGGATTTAAAAATGAAGAAAATATCATGAGTGCAATGTATATCATGAAGTGTATGGTTTAGAATCACATCACTAAAATATCAATATTAATATCTGAACTATTGCTGTAAATCTAGTTTTCTTTGTTTCTTTTTTTGTAAAAAAATGCAAGTGACTTATGCCTGTGCAATACCAAACCAATCTCACAACCTATTTTACGAGGTGGCGATTTTTCCACCCCTAAACATAACATCACTGGGGTGTAAGCAGATTGTACAAAAACATATGAATGAGACCGTAAAAATAAGACACAGATTCGCCGAAGCATAACTAGTTACTAACTGCCAGTCACAATATTGGAGTTGGCCTTGCCAGTATTTCCCAGCATGACTTGAAGTGTCATTCATGCCTGCAGTACAAACTGTTCAGAGTGAGTTATATACCAAGGTGTAATACTTAAGTACAGGTTTCTGTTTAAATTCCTAACCCTAAGAAAGAAAATAGTAATAGCCACGCTTGTCTTAGCAAACACAACTAATTAAAGTCAGAATTTCAAATAAGTTGTAGGATGTCTCTGTATTTAGTCCAGTGTTGGTCTTCAGCTATTGTCCTTTGAAAATATTGTGTATATGCACAAAAACCTCTAATAATTTCGAGTCTGCTGAAAGTCAGACAGGGCTTGGAGACATAAGCATGTCCTTGTCCACAGGATGATTGACAGGCAGGCATGTTTGAAGTTCAGCAGCAGTCATTCCTCACAAGCCTCAGCCAGATGGTGGAGTCTCCTCACATCAAGTTTTCAGCCATTGAGTGTGTAATGAATAATGTTCACATGAATAAGAGATTTACATTGGTCACTTCAATCGTTTTGAATATATATGGGCTTCTGGGATACATCAAAGTGAAAGGCATAACAACAAATCAAATCATATCTTGCTCTAGATTTGATATGGATATACGCAAAGTATCCAAAACCATTGTGTATGTTGTGCTTATTATATATCTCTCTTAATTGATTCTAATGAGTAAATTACACATTTCTGTGGTCAAATATTTCTGTAGCCTATATTCACTGTTAAACAATTGATCAGTTGTACATCGCTGTGTTTATTTTATCTCTCTCATAATTTTGTAATCTCTCTGTGATCGTTTTCATCTCACCTAATAAAATTATTTCAAATCGATATTTTACATCCATTTATTTGGTAAGTATAGCTTTTGATTAAGTGAAATAATACAATCAGCTGGTCATTAAAGCTAAATGACAATGCAGTGTTGGCCAGCTGACTCTACCGTTTACTTAAGATCCAGGAACAGTTCATATAGAACAATATTTTGTACATCAAAATTTAAAGGGGCTCATAAAATCCATGTTTTGTTGTGGCATCCAAATGACACTCATTTCAGTATATTCTCAGACTTGAATAAACATAAAAATGTTGAAGATACTTTTATGCAGCACTTTCATCATTTCCGCATCAAAAAGATAAAGATCGAAAAGATACAAAACTAGGCCTTCAAATCTGAAAGCAATTTAAAGCCATTTTGAAAAGTACAAAAGACTTTGAAAAAGTCTTTTTAAAGCCATGCATGTTTTATAAAGGGTGCTCAGATATAGCATTGTGAGCTCTGATCTTATTCACACCCGCCTGCCAGTGTTGGTTGTCAGCTGTGTTTGTGTGAGAACTGAAACTTGTGATAATGACAGACTTCCGACAGTGTCTTTAATAAATTTCAGTTACGCTCAGCTGCCCCTGATGTTTCCAGGCTGCTGCACTTGACTTCATCTGAGGGGGGGAAATGCACATAGTCATTTATAAATGAACTTCTCTAAACTGAAACACATATAAGCATATAGCCTACTTCCCCTTTAGAACATTGTACTAGTAATGTGGATAATAACAAGAGCTTTTTTCCTAAATTATTGTCTTACACACCTGCACTCTGGCTGTGTGATATCTGGGTTTGTGAAGCGGACATCTGTGTGATCTCTTCAGAGGGTATGTGTGTATGGCTGGAAGGGTCTGCGGTTCTTAGGTCATCCGGGGGCCAACGTAACTCTCCGCTCTCCACCTCTCCCTCTGTGGGCTCCACTACGATGGAGGGCAAGCGCTTGGACAGCTTGGGGTGGCGCTCCTTTGTGTCTGGAAAAATCTGAAAATAGATGTTTTATCTTTGAGATAAAGTAGATGTTGAATGCTCCACTTATGTTTATCGACATAAAGAAACAGCTCACCTATATGGAAAATGCTGTCATCATTTAATCACTTGCATTTTGTTCCATACCTTTATGACTTTCTTTTTTCCATAGAACACAAAAGGGAGTTTTTAAAGAATATCTTGGGGTTTGGTTTTCATATAATGAAAGTGAAAGCGCGACCAGGGCTTGACCAACAAAATGACACCATAAACGTGTCCATACTATAACTTTGTGTTATCTGAACAGGACAATATTTATGCCAATCATTTCTTAAATTCCAGTCTATTTATCACACAAAGCTATTGTATGATATTGAGTATTTCAATGGCCCTTTCATTATATGAAAAGAGCATGCAGGTTGTTCTTTAAAAATGCAAGAAGGTCATAAGGGTTTGAACGACATGAAGTTGAGAAAATTATGACAATTAGCTTTACACAGTATTCACAGAATCTTACATCAGTTGAAAGTTTAATTGAGAGATCAGATGACATTGAAGGAACTGATCAACTTGGGATGAAATGACGAATGAAAAGACTTGGATGAGACACCAACCTGAAAGGAAACGCCTTGCTCTCCGGTGTCACTCATAGTGAAATCTTCTCGACTGTGTTCTGGGTTGTTCAAAATATCTGTCATTCTAACAAGAAAATGAATCATAAATTAACCTATATTTCTATAAACTAGATATTATCCTATATCTTTTTTTGGTCACTTCTGTATAATACAAACAAATGCCTGCTGACGAAGAAAACGTCAGTACTTGGTTCACACATGGGAGAGTAGAGAATACAGTACATTTGCAAGCAGTATTTTTATTAATAGAAAGTAACAACACTCAGAGACACTTGAAGAACACAGGAGAACAGAAAACCACATAAAATGGAAGAGAACAGACAAACAACTGAACAAAACAGGGGAGTATAATACACAAGTTAATGGGGGGTAAAATAAGGCACAGTTGGAACCGATCAATCAACTAATAGGTAACCAGAGCAACCAAGGACACATGGACTCAAAACAGGCAAGAGAAACTAAACTCAGGGAACCCAAAAACAGACAATATGTGGCATCTATGGCAATCAAAAAAGAAACATTCTTAGAAGAAAGCCTACACTACCGTTCAAAAGATTAGGTCCTGTAAGATAGTGTGTTTCAAAGAAATCTCTTATGCTCTCCAAGGCTGCATTTATTTAATTTAAAAAAAAATACAATAAAAACAGTAATATTATTATAATTGATTTCTATTTTAATATTTTTCAAAATGTAATTTATATTTCTGTGATGGAAAATCTGAATTTTCAGCATCATTCTTCAGTGTCACATGATCCTTCAGAAATCATTCTAATGCTGATTTGCTGCTCAAGAAACGTTTCTTAGTATTACCAATGTTGAAAACAGTTGTCCAACTTAATATTTTTTCTGGAAGCCATTATACATTTTCTTTCAGCATTCCCCAGACTTTTGAACAGTAGTGTATATTGTTTGAAACTGTGTATCGTAATAAGAACAAACTTTCAAATTTTAACACTAACACACCAATACATAACCTTTGCTGAGCAACAGTGAAGGATTAGTTCACCCCAAAATATTAATTTTGAAATGTCATTTCAATGCTGTGTTTTTTTCTTTTCTTCAATGGAACACAAAAGGAGATCTTAATCATATGACAAGGAAAAACCAATGGCGTTTGGCATCAAAAATTTCCTTTTTGAATTGATCACAAGTGAAGAGAATATTATTAATGCAATACAATGAATAACCAATGAAAAATTATTAAATTGTTTACCCATATGGCTCATACTATAAGTGTTTGTATGGTTTCAGATTACTTGTAATATTTAGCACATATGGAACTGCTTTTATAGAGAATTTTTTTCTTGGCAGTATACCATCCACTTTTGTTGTATGGAAAATAGCCACTTGGATATTCAGCCAAACATATAATTTTGTGATTCACAGAAAAAGAAAGAAAGTAAAAACACAGGGTAGAAGCAGGTGAGTAAATAATAACACAATTTTAATTGTGTGTGAACTATTGATTTAATAAAAAAGATACTAGAAATAAAAAAGAAAAGAAAATCATGCACCATTATGTCAGTTGCAGAATTTGCATGTTTGTTCAGTCTGTAATCCCTAAAAAAATCCTTCATGTCCCTTTCAAACTGACATGGTTTTAACAGCATGCACACAACCAAACACCCCAGCTATTCTTTGTTCCAGGCTTTGACTGCAGTGTGTGTCTGCAGGTGTGTATGCAAATACGAAGCGTGGTAAAATTATAAAATATTATCCTCCATCATTTTCATTCAGATTGATGGCGGACTCATGCCTGTTTGCAGTCTGTTGAACAGACAATATGAGGGACGAATGCTGAAGGATAATAAAACTGTGAACACGCTAGTTAGTACACCCACTCACATGCACACTCACAAATCCTGTTCAATTATTCAGCAGTTAAAGGCTGGATAGCACAAAGACCTATAAAAACGAATCACGTTATTTTGACAATGAAAACCAAATTGCTCAGGCTAAGGCAGTGCCTAATATTGTTATCATTAACTGAAAATAAAACTATTATAAATAATTTCCGGTAATTGAAATAAAGCTGAAATAAAATTTAGAAATATTAGATGAAAAACATCTCGGGTTATAACTGTAACCTTGGTTCCCTGAATATGGCACGATGTGCTGCATCTGAATGTTGACACTTTGGGAACGCTTCCATGTGACTGGTCTCTGAAGCACGTGTGAAACAGCACCAATTCTATTGGTAGTCATATGACGTAAGATGGTGCGCCATTTGACTATAAAAGGGCACTTGCATTTGACATCATCAGCTTTTGATTGGCCGAAGGAAGACATTCAAGTATGATGTAGTATGGCAAGGAGACTCAGTCTCTCCTGCTTTACTCAGGGAACAGAGGTTACAGTCTAACCCAAGATGTTTTCTTTCGAGGGAATAGTACGCTGCGTCTGAATAGTACAGTAACGCCTTTGAAGGGGCCACATCCCTAGTAGTGTGGGCTCTGATAGCCCCTGTGCTCTGAACAGCTGCTGAGACCCAAACAGGGCATACAAGATTAAGCCTCTCCTGGTCTCCTGTTCTGCAGATTGAAAAGGCAGAGGACAGAAGGCCTGAAGAACCACAGAACGTGTCACTGAGAAAGAGCAAATCATACAAACATAGCCTCGTCCATGTCTTTACCAAGGCATCCAGCCTCAAGTGTGCTGGAGGTGTGATGGCGAATCAGAGCGGGCAGTGTGTCAAATTATCTGAAACAAACAGGTCTACTTCCACTCTGCCGAACCTCTACCAGATTGACTCCACCTGCTTCGACAGGGTTTCTGCTCCCTGATTCAGTACCCAGGTATTTAGTCTGGTTCCAGAGCAGGATCTGGCACGCCAGTCTGGAAATAGGGCATGAACGCATACCACCCTAGTGATTTATGTATGGGACTACTGATGTGTTGTCTGATCGGACAAGAACATGGTAGCCTCTGAGGTCTGGGAGAAGTATTTCAGAACCAGAAATACAGCCCTCATCTCCAGGCAATTTTTGTGCCATGAAAGATGGTGACCTCTCCACAGACCCTGAGCAGAGCGGCCATCTAGGATCGCACCCCAGCTTGTGAGGGAAGCATCTGTTATTAGTATTTTGCGACGACACAATGCCCTCAACGCGGGACCTTGGGCCAAGAACCAAGGTTTCTTCTAGAGTCCTGCGCGGGACTGTTTTCTTCATCCCGTTCCCGCCCGCCCCCGCCGAATTTCTGACCATTACCGCCCGCGACGTATGTGTTACACTCCCGCCCGCTCCCGCAATATGCATGTCCACTCCCGCCCGCACCTGCAAAACTCTGAGAATTTATTCCCGCATAATAATAGAGATGCATTGACTTTGTGTCTTCTCCCGTTCCGCATGAAAAAACACGTATTTGTATTGCTGTTATTAAAGAGATTCATGGGGTTGTTTGTTTCGTTTCCCTGGCCTGCATGTATTCTGACGCACTGATCAGGAAAATGAATAGTAGTCCAAATGTCAGACTTGCCTTGCTTAGGTTTTGTGCTGTAAATACCTCGTTTGAGGTTCTTTTCCACATAATTGACATCTCCATCATGTCGCTAGGCTATATCTCGATCCCGCAGTTGTTGTTTTTAACCGCCAATTCCCGCCCGCAGCAAAGTTAAAACCGCCCGCTCCCGCAAGATTTGCGTTGGGTCCCGTGGGACCCGGCGGGACCCGGCGGGACTCAATCCCAATGCAGCCCTCTAGTTTCTTCCACATCCCTAGGGTACGTAAATATCTGTGTGTAACCCTGATGATGCAAAAAGAGTTGCCCCTTGGGGACAATCCCTTGGTCTTGAGCCACCGCTGCAATGGTTTCATGTTCAAAAGGCCCTAAGGTATGATGTTTGACGCAGCTGCTATGAGTCCTAACCGTCTGAAATTGACGGCTTGGCCTAGCCTGATCTTGCCTATGGCCATAAAAATAGACTCTATACGTGCAGGGTACAAACGTGCAAGGCTAGGCCGAAAGGAAGAACCTGATATTGGTAAGTTTCACCCCTCAAAACCAAACCTGAGGATGGATATGTGAAAGTATGCATCCTTTAGATCTATCGTGACAAGTCCTTGGATCTGATTTGAGATACGATGAGCTTCAGTGTTAACATTTTGAACCTGTAAGTCTGTAGAGTACGGTTCAGATGACGCAGATCCTTCTTTCGTACCGGCTGTAGAAGCCCGACTTTCTCTCAGGAAGAGGAATATATATTCTCTTCTATTTCTATTCTATTTCTATAGCCTCTTTCAACAAAAGAGACTGTACTTCATGCTCCAACACCCCGCTGGATCCTGTAAACTCTTCCATGGTTCGCAGAACCCAAGGAGACACATTTGGCAGAAGTTGCCACGCTGCCATATGGTCTGAAAGTGGTATCTGACCTCCGATGCAGGATGTGGCACACATCATATGGCACACCATCTTATGTCATACGACTACCGTCAGCCAATAGAAATTGGCCTAAATTCAGTCATGCTTCAGAGACCAGTCACATGGAAGCGTTCCCACAGTGTCAACATTCAGTCGCGCGGTGAGTTCCCACGAAAAGGATATTAAACTTAAATCTCAACAAAAATTTTATTTAATTTGTTAATTAATTATTTATAATTTGTTACAAGTGTTTGACGCATTTACAGCTGCAACTTGAAGATGGAGATGAAGATCCTTGAATAAAGGCTTGAGTTTGGGTCTATTCCTCATATGGATTCTGAAGATTTAAATTAGAGCATAGAATAAAATGTATTATTTTCATGATTATTTTATGTTGCGTTTTCAGTGTATTTTATAGTCTTTGTTTGATTCACAGCATGTTGATAAAATGCCTTTTGTGTCCTACAACAAACAAAATAAATATTACACAAAGTAATGGTTAAACATTTACAGAAATGTTATTGATTTTATGTTTTTTCTTATGGTTTATTTGTTTAACAGTATGTCATTCTTTGAGATGAGTTTGCATCAGAAGTCACAAACATTTGTAAATGAGTAAAAAATGTGATTGAAATAATTTAATTCATCATAAATGCAACAGAATCAACCAATTAATTCCATGAATTCAGTATAAGAAAAAATAAGGAATTGTATTCATTTGTAAGTCTGTAAAGTTACTGATCCATAAATAATTTAGATGCTGTCAGTACTTCAATACGGTACGTTTCAGTGTCAATGTAAAGCTAAGTAATATTTATAGGATTCAGTCCCCCAGCCACTAAAGAGAAAAAAAGGGGAACCTGTTGTGTGTTATGGAGGAGTTCTGGGTGAACTGTCACAATGAGTGTGGTAATATGCTTTATTAGTTGCTATAACTGTATTTTGCTAAGCTTCTAGATGAGAAAAATAAACAGATTTCAGTAGAATGTTAGAAAAGATGTTACCAGGGAACCAATAGGAGCATGCTTGGTCTAATTGTTTGATTATTGTTTTGGTATTTTTCAAAGAATTGCGAGGCTGTTGAATGCAGTGTTTTACGTAACATTGTGGTGTAATTAGACTAACACTGAGAGATACTCTTACTTAGAACTGTCCCTTAATTGTGGCTTTGCTTAAGGCGAATATAGAGGCAGCACAACTCAAGGCTTTAAAAGCAGACATGCAATAAAGTATGGTTTAACATTTATGCGTGAGGTCTATGGGTTTCTTTGTGTGTACACATGAATGCATGCGTGCTTGTATTAATGCCCATAAGCAAGGGTGGAATTTATTTGTATTGATATCATTTTAATACAGTTTCAAAGGCCTCTGGCTGCCAGATGATTTTTGGATTGCAAGCACAGACGTCACCATACATGCCAAATCATGTCTAGACCTTTTGTGAGTTCAATGAGAGCAACTATTCTATGATTAATATTTTGATGGATTATAAACATGAAGGAAAATAAAGGCTTCCTGGATTTTAAAGGTTTCCAGTGAATTGATTGATCAAGAAACATTGTAATATATCTAACATATCAAACAGGTGTGGAAAATGTTGTGGGAAATATGACATATTTAAATATTTGAAATGAAAAGACACTGTTAAAACTATATAGATTTTTTTTTTTTTTTGTAGTGCTCTAATAGAATTAAAGCAACACCAAGTAACTTTTCCTCTTTGGAATCATGATGACAATTCAAAAGCTACCCAGCTGCTAGGTATCTTACATGTAGTTGTAGTCTACTGTCGAGTACGCTCCACCTATCGGCAATTGTAACGCTTGCCGTAAAGCAAGTCAAATTTGTAGTTTTCTTATGTCTCATTCGGACTACAGAAACGCGACCCGATCTGGCAATCTTACATAGCGTGGATATATCAGATAAAGGACCGCAAAGCGGCGGCATAAGTGCATTTCACCATGTCACGACTTGATGAACCACTGAAACGATTTTGAAAACATTATTTTAAGGTAAAAAACTTACTTAGTGTTGCTTTAACTTTGAACCACACATTCAACATTCTAATCTCAGCATTTAATTAGCCTACCAAACACAGATTTCGATTTTATGGTCTTTCCACAAGATGGGTTTCTTTTTCTTTTAATATTTAACATTTTTATTTTATTTTGGCATATAACTATGCTTTGAAATAAATAAACAATCAGAATTGACAATTTTATAGTTAATTTAGCCATAAGAAGCCTATAGTGTTCAAGGTCATGACCTTAAGTTTCGTGAAACTTTTAATAATCAGTTGTTTACTATAAAAAATGGTAACAGGGTTGACTATAAGATCGTCTCCCTGACAGTGAGGTCATGCCATCGATATGATGTCATTATGTCAGAGGTTGTTGTTTTTTTTGGACATCATTGTAAAAATTAATGATTTATGAGGAGTTATGATGCAACAGTTGATGCATAACTTGGGGGCAAGTTTTTTTTTAGTTTTTTTTTTACTAAAATTCAACTAATATTTAAATACAAAATATTAGATTTAATTTTCATTGTGCAAATTTGCTAATATTACAACAAGAAGCTAGAAACATGGCTGGGGACCGACCAAAAGACATCTGACATGAATCAAGAAAAAAATAAAAAGTTAATGGATTTTAGTAACGTGTTTTCTGAACATGGCAATTACAACACATAGGCCTATAGTTAAAAGTCATAATTTCATTGTTAAAGTCTCTTTTTTTTTAAATCTCCCTTATAATGGACTAGTAATATGAAACAATATGAAACAATTCTAATATACAACTCCATCAAAAGGCAAATGTGGTTTTAAGACAAATTGCACGCATATATAGCTTACAAAATCATAAAAAGGGACCACATTTAATTTAGTCAAAGGAATATAGGCTGAATATGAATATAGGCTATCATCAATATACAGCAGATATTTGTATAAGCAATTAAAAAGATGTAGACACAAATTAAATAAATATGCAGATGAACCTTTAAGTTTTTCACCAATATATGTTTGGTTTCCTGAGACTGAATACCTTCTCTAAGCTTTCTTTTTACCACTTTATTTTAAATGTGCAATGTACCATTATGTCAAATAGCCTACCTTTATTTTGTCCCCTTCTCTTCTTGAAGTGTAAGAAATTGTATTATATTGAGATATCCTCCCGTTCAAATCTCTCTCGCAGCTTCCGTTCACATCAGTCCGTCCAGTTCGAGCGGAAAGTTACTGTTGAATGCTGTCACAGTGCTTGTGCTCATCCTACCAACGTCATTCATTTACATGTTGAGAGCTGCATGCAACATGAATCGCTGTACGATTGGTTACGAGAAGCACGCATCCACGTCGTCATCAAAGCTTGTTTTTTCATGTCATTTTCGGGATCTCTGAATCCAGATGATGATTATAACGCAAGTGTTTGGGTGAGTTTAGTGATCTGCACTACCATATTTTTAGAAGCAACGGGAAAAAGAAAAAAAAACTTTCTCTGAAAGATTCTTATACCTCATGTTACTAATATTAGCTTTAGTGTTCTTGAATATATTTGAGAGCTTGTCTGGTTGAAGGAAGACTGACACTATTGAAAACTCATTGTGATGTTGTTGGTTATGGATCGCTGATGCCCCCTGCTGCTGTACTTGGATTTTTTCCCACTGAGGTCTATTTATAGGCCTGCTGTTTGCGTGTTTGTTTACGCTCATATTCCATGTAAACAGTGACTTTTTTGTTCAGATTTGGTTCAGGTCCCTTTAACAGGACACAAGTGTCTGGTGTTCACTTTTTTCCACCGTGGTATAGGCCTATTTCCTATTCATTTCCCCCTAGCCTTTTAAACTTTAATGAGTTTTAAGAATCAAACCAGCTTAAGTTACTGTATTATTGTATGTATAATTGCTGCTCTGACTGGACCACAGTCCACAGTACATATACAAACTCCATATGTCGTTTTAATTGTTTTTCAGATGTTGCATCCTTTTTTTTACTCATTGATTATTGCACTGAAATTATGATGATTTATATATTTTTTTTGCAATGCACTTACTAGGGTGTCTTACAATCAGTCTTTTTAATCCACAGCCTGCTGTACGTATCAATCAATCAATCAAGCAATCAATTCCCCTTATACAGCAAGGTTACTTGGTTTTTTTTTTATCAACATCTATGTATTTTAATAATTTCTAGCTTAAATGGCAATACAGACGAAAAAAAAGAAGGAGTGTCAATATAATATTGTTACACTCATAAGTAATAAATGTGATTTTGTGTTGTCATCCAACTAAACAGAAATGTAAATCTCTTACAAATTATTCTTATATCAGGACACTTAGTCCATTCTTTAACTACTACTAACAGGCTGACTTTTGCTTTATTGAGTTTCATTTTAAAAAAGTAGAAAAGACCAAATGCTGGTGCAATTCCAATATCTAAGCAACCACAAGAATGCACACAAATTTAATTTCAGGGCATCGCCTCAACAGGAGAACATACTGTATATCACGCAGTGGCAATAGAGTAGGCAGTCATTGTTTTTTACCCTTAGGCTGTTTAACCCTTTAATCTGTTGTTGTTTTTTTAATTCAAATTCAAATTCAAAATATATTTTTTTAATACCTAATGTTGATGCAACTGCCGATATCTTACAGAGCATGATACAGAATGAAAGATGAAAGGTTTTCAGACAAAAGTTATTTTTGCTTTGGGTACGGGGTACAGTTTGGAGTACATGAAACACTAGTTTATTTAACACATACAATAGTAAAATTGGTAAATCTGCAGCTTCCCCGAGTGACGGTGCCCTAGGAGGTGGCAAAGTCTCAATGATTGTGTTGATCTGGCCCTGTTTAGGATTATAATATAGGCTGATTATTGTCTGATTATCAGACAATAAACCTGGGTTGCGTTTCCTTAAAAGTATCTTTAGCCAACTAGAGTCGCATGTTCCATTGAATTGGGTTGTAACTACAGAACTTGCCACCGTAGTTGGCTTTATCCTTTAGAAAGTTCATGAGAAAGTTGGCTGCGATATTATTCTAAATGTCAACAGATGTTTGTATCAGCCTTTTTTACTTGTCTCTGTGCATTAATCCAACTCTGTTTCTTGGCTTTACACTAATATTGATCGTAGGCTATATTATTGTATTATTATATTTTAAAATAGTGATACTAGGGATCAACATTTGCTATCAAAAATGGTAAAGGCAAGGTGATCTCTCTCAGTCTGCTCAAATATTTTTTTTGTGTATTTTTATTTTTAGTGTTCACACACTAAATCAGAGACGTGGAACATATTGTCACTTTTTTATTTCTTTTGCAGTGACTAGTTTAAGTGTTTCTCTTACAACATTCATTTGATTAATTTGACAAATCATGTTAAATGAAAAGTCATTGCTTATTGAGAAAATTATTGTATTCTGAAAATGTGCATTGTACAGTATATTTTGCAAATCTATTGATTCCATCAAATGCTTTTGTCATAAGCTAACACAGATAATGAATAGACAAATAAAACATTTACATAGTTGTTTTCATTTATTGTCAAGGCTGCAGAAACAGATTTTATATGCAATTTTATAGTTTTCTCAAAATAGATAACCTCAAAGAAACAAATGCCTCAATATGTGATACTGTCAACATTCTTTAAAAGCCACACCAACTTTATAATTAATTTTATTTGTGAATATATCTATTTAAATGTTGTTTGCTTGAATATTACTGAGTTTGCACTGTAAACAATTTCCCCAAGAGAACAGTTTTACAGTAAAGTGCACTGATAACCCACACATCAAATTATAATACAATATTTTTTTTCTATTATTCATCGTACATACATACTGTAATTCATCCAGTGGATATAGTTGTTTTGTCTTAAGACTTTTAAGCTTAAAATCTTCTCTAGCTAAACAATACTCTGTGATATGTTCATAAGTAAGTGTAATTTTACTCAATTAGCATTACAATTCAGCTGGCTTGTATGATTATATAAGAGAACACCGAAACATACATTCAAAAGCATAAAATAAACTCAGCCATATATCATGTTCATTTCCCCTCATTCTCATCTGTAGAGGAATCCATATGTCTTAGAGATGTTTCATAGCTCACTATTGTGACCTCTTCAGTTGTTGCTACACTGTCAAAAAACCTCATTTTTTCAGTGTGTACCGTGTCTCTCAGCCTACGAATCGAGGAAGCCGTATCATCACAAATGGGTTCTGCAGAGTCTCCTTCAAATACACGTGTTCTCTGTGTCACAATTATTGTCTCGTTATCATCATGTAATGTTTCTTTCACAACATGCTTTTCCACCAATGTTTGCTTCCCACTTTGCACTCTGGTTTCCTCTACTGTCAACACCGAGTCTAAGCCTAGTGTTACTTGTAATGGTGAGGTGTGAATTCCATGGGCGTCTAAATTAGTAAAGATTGCAGCTTGCTGTGTGTCTGGTATAGCTTGAATGTTCGATGTGATGACATGAATTTCCCCTGACATCTGTTTCAGAGTGTCCACTGAGGCGGAGGACATATCTGATGAGAATGGGATGTTGACTTTTTCTGGCTGGTGGTGAGGCTCCATTGATATCATTTCACATCTGGCTGTGGAAGTTACAACATTAGTTTGTACATCTTTGACCCCAATAGTGGCAGTTGGTTCAGCATATTTCACTTTAACTTTTGTAGGAGAGGTCTGTGACAGGCCAACATGTTCAGTTACTGTGGAACTTATATCTGCAAAAGCTTCAGATGACCTTAGGGATAATGTTGGGCTGATGTTGTCCTCCACAGCCTCGCTGAACAAGCTCTTCTCTGGTTCCTCGTGTGCCTTGCTGGATTCTTTCTCTACATCATCAGACTTCTCGGCCTGTTCAGGTGGTTGGATTATTTGTTCCTTCTCGTCAGATTTTGTAGTTTTAGTTGGAGAAGAAAATGAGAACTTGAACCAGCTTCCTTTTTCAGTTTTTGCTTGTTCTTTGCTAACAGCTGATTTCTGATCCACTGAAGCCTCCAGATGTTTTTCACTTTCTTCAATTTTGGCGTCGACTAACTTATCACTTTCATCTGAGGACTGGCTGAATCCTAATTTTGGAAATTTAAATTTAAACTTTGATTTCTCCTGTGCTCCTTTGTCCTTGTGTTCCTTGTGTTCTGTGACGTTGAGGACGTTTTCTCCAGCCTCCTGTTCTTGCTTGACAGATGGTTTGTCCATTTGTTCTTCTATTTCCTCTATTGTTGGAACGTTAAATTCAACCTCAAAGCCACTGAGAACATCCTCAAGTCTAGGCATTGTAAATCTGGGTGACTTTCCAGGCCCTTGTGAATCATCTTTTGGTTGTGTTTTAGTGTCTGGGGCATTAGCATTTATGGTTGTGTCATCTTCTCCATCCTGAGATTTTGTTCTTGAAATGCTAAACTTTGGCATTTTCATAGTAGGAAGTTTGAATTTACTCGGGGAGCCTTTGTCACCCTCCATTTTTTTTACAACAACCTCTGGAGGCTGTTCGGTGGTTTCTTTAATTTCACCCTCTCTGTGTATATCTTTGGAGACTTCTACTTGTAAAGGCTTGTCTTTAATATTTAAATCAGTTTTAGTGTCTGGAACATCTACTTCTGCTTCTTTTCCTTTTGCATCAGATGTTCTTCCAAATCTTGGCATTTTAAAAGCAGGCATTTTGAATTTACTTGGAGAACCTGAAACAACAATGGTATCATCTTTCAACTCTGTCTCTACCTCTGTTTTTTCAAGGCTGGAACTTCCCTCTAAAGCCATGGCTACTTTTGGGAGACTTGCATCATCTGCTGCAATTTTAATTTCTGGTTCAGTGATCCCAATTTCAGGTGTTCCTGTTTTTACTTCTTTTGCAGTTACTATCACCTCAGGACCTTTTACTTTGGGTAATGAAATCCCAAATTTTGGAAGTTTAAATTTAGTTTCCTGTCCCTCTTGATTAATCTCTTTTGCTTTTATGGTCATATCAATAGATGGGGTTTCAATCTCTGCAGTTTTGCATTTGATGTCATCTGATTGGTCCACATTTGATGTCTTTATCTCATAATCCACTGAACTACCTTTAATTTCCTTGATGTCAGAATCAGGTGCATCACTAGTGACCTTCGGAGCGGAAAATCCAAATTTGGGTAATTTTATTTCTGGGAGTTTGAATTTTGTTGGAGAGCCAAATTGTGGACTTGTTATTTCAGTTTTGCCATCTCTCTCACTTTCTCCCATTTCTGCAGTGCCCTGTAGTAAAATGTCTGTTGTCATTTCACTGGCTTGCATATCCACTTCCACTATTCCTTTGGGTAACTTTAGCTCTTTCTTGTCTGTAGTTGGTATATCTCCTGACATTTTCACTTCTGTTTTTGTCATAGGTTTCTTGAGCCCTTGGTCACTGTCAGGACCTTTTGTTGTTGGGAGAGCAATACCAAATTTTGGAAGCTTAAATTTGCTTTTAATGTTCATCTCAATAGATGGATCTTCAACATTTTCTGTTGGCTCTTTCATGTCAACACTTGCTACTTCTCCTGACATGTTAAACGTCTTATCGGGAAGGCTAACTTCATCGATGTCCATATTTGCCGTAGGAATGTCCACTGTGTCCTTTGATGTTTTGGTTCCAAATTTGGGGAAATTGATTGTTGGAAGTTTAAATCTCGTTGGAGAGCTAAAAGTGTCTTTTTTCAAATCAGGTTGTTCTTCTGGTAATTTAATATCCACAGATTGCTCTGAAAAATCAACATTTCCCAGTGATGTGCCCATGTCAGGTTTGGCTAGACTCACATCAACTTCAGGAGCCTTAAGATCTTGTTTTGAAAATCCCAATTTGGGAAGTTTTACTTTCAGCCCTTTGGAATCAACTTCAACTTTATCTGTTTCCCCCTCAATGGTCACATTTTGAATTGCAACATCAGGCTGTTGTACATTAACTTTTTCTTCACATAGCAAGCCGGTCTCTTTGTTTATCTCTTTACCCTCCATCTCTATCTCCTTTACATTTGGCATACCAATTCCAAATTTTGGCAGCTTGAACTTACTCCCTGTCCCATCAATGTCCATCTCTTTGACCTTAATGTCCACATTAACAGTAGGCACCTTAATATCAATGTTTGTTTCTGTGTCAGTGGTTTGTACCTCTATTGTTTCAGAGAAACTGATTTCAGGTTTTTTGAAATCTATTTCAGCTGCTGGTATGTCAGATGTGGACTTTGGATATTTGATTCCAAACTTTGGGAGGTTGATTGAGGGAAGGTTAAATTTTGTATGAGTTGGATCTTCTTGTTTTTTCATTTCATCAGTGAAGGTAATTTCTGCATCTTGGTCTTTAGAAGGTATGTTGCCCTCTTGCATAGACATATTTGCCTTTGGTTGACTGGCATAATCAACATCATGCCCCTTAATATCTGGCTTTGAAAAACCAAATTTTGGAAGTGAAAAGCTTGACTTCTTCAATTTCACATCAAGCCCTTTCAAGTCAACTTCAGGTATATCTGCCTCGCCTTCAATGGATATGTCTTGAACGTCAACATCAGGTTGGGGTAGTATTACCTTACCTTCTGCTAGATGAACATCAGTTTCTCTTATTGTGGCATGTATATCTGCCTCTCTTTCAATTTTTGGTATTTTTCCTGACACCTTGATGTCAGGTTCATGACCAGTAATTTCTATTCCTTTAATGTCCTTATCTGCTGATGGTAAACTTACTGTACCTTTTGAAGTTTTGACTCCAAATTTTGGCAGGTTAACTTCTGTCAGTTTATATTTGGTTGGGGAACTAACAATTGTTAGATCTTTCTGTTCAGCTTCCCTTCCTGGAAATGTAACTTCTGTTATTTGTTCTTTTACAGGTACATTACCCTCTGGTATGGATACTTCAACTTTTTCTACACTGACATCAACTTCTGGAGTTGCAGTGTTTGGTTTGGAAAATCCAAACTTAGGAAATGAAAAACTTGGTCTCTTCGCTTTTACTTGCAGTCCTTTGGAATCAACCTCAGGCATGTCTGCACTCTTTTCAACTTCAGATTCATTTTTGGGTGGCTGTACTTTTAGTTTGACGTCAGGTTTAGAAATATCACTTTTTATATTTGTTTCCTCTAGTTCTGAATCAGTTACATTAATGTCTAATGCTCCTTTTTGTGATTTAACACCAAATTTCGGGAAGCTGAAAGAAGGGAGTCTAAACTTGGTTGGAGATCCAAAAAATGTTGAACCCTTTTGATCAGGCTCCATTGACACTTCAATGTCCGTTTTTGCTTCTTCTAGGCCCATACTGCCTTCTGATATGGGGATATCAGTTTTTTGGATACTTACATCAACCTCAGGGGCTTTTATTTCTGCTTTTGAAACCCCAAATTCAGGTAATGTCTTTATCTGTACATCTAGGCCTTTAAAATCATGTTCTGGTGGGTGAATTTTCCCCTCGGTTTTTATCTCTGTTTTTTTAAGATCGATTTCCTGTACTTCAGCTATTTCCTCTGTCTTTGATGCACTTAAATCAAACCCTTTTACTTTAGGAAGGTCAATACCCAACTTTGGCATCTTCAGCTCTCCCCCAAGTCCTCCAAGTTCAGCATTTTCAACCTTTAAGTCCACACTTACAGATTGACCCTCTGTGGCTAGATGAGGTCCCTTTATATCAGCTGATGGTATTTTTATTTGTGTATATGGACCGCTCATTTCAGGTTCTTTAACAGCTATACCTACATCTGGCATAGATTTCTCTTCCTTCATAGCTTGTCCTCCAGTCTTTGGGATGTTGATTGAGGGGAGTTTAAATGTTGTTGTGGCACCAAAAGTTGTCGTATCTTTTTGCTGAGCCTCAAAATTTAACACTGTGATGTTCATACTTTGTTCTTTTATTTTCACATCACCTTCTGGTTCAGATGTAACAACTTGTGCAAGCTTGACATCAGTCTCTGGGGTCTTGATATCGGGTTTGGAAAATCCGAATTTAGGAAATGAAAAGCCTGTTCTTTTCATTTTTATACCTGGGTCTTTTAAATCAACTTCTTGATCTTTTTTGCTTTCTGTTTTAGCTTGTGGTACTTCAGCTCCAGCTGACAGTTCCCTGGGTTTTGTCTCTGGTAAAGAAATATCAACTTCTGCCTTTGATGTTATGGCCTCTGTAAGTGACAGGGTGTATTGATCTCCAGTATCTAGCTTTGGCTGATCAACACTTATTGAGGGTTTCTTCAGCTCTTGACTGGGCACATTAAAGTCAATTTTTACATCTGACACTTCTACTGATGTAAATATATCTTCAGCCTCCAAAGTAATTTCCTCCCCCCTCAAATCTGTTATTTCAGATTTTACTTTGGAAGATGAACTTCCGAATTTGGGTAGCTTGAAAGAAGGAAGTTTGAATTTGAATGGTGACCCTCCAGTGGTTGAATCATCTCTTAAGTCAGACTCAAGATTCACATCCACTTCACCAACTGCCATAGATGGTAGATCCCCTCTCTCAACATGACTCTCTGGATCTTTAATCTCTTGTTTAGAAAATGCATGCTCTGAGCTTGGCTCTTTTGGCTTTTTCATCATTACCTCCATTTTCAAAGAAGCCTCGGGTATGTCTGCTTTTCCCTCAGCACTCTCAATGTCATGTTTCAGTGTAGCCTCTGGTGCGCCCTTTTTAAATTCTGGTCCCTTTAGCTTTGGAAATGAAAATTCAAATTTGGGCATCATAAATCTACTCCCTTGACCTTCATGATCGGTGTCTTGAATCTTAATTTCAGCATCTACCGGTAGGGTTTCAAAAATTGATTTTGATGGTTCTATATCTTTATCTTGTGATGCAACTGTTGATGTTGCCTTTATTTCTGACTGTGCATCACCACCAGCTTTTGCAATAGATTCTTCTGCAGTCTTTGAAATAGAAATGTCATATTTAGGGAGAGAAATTGTTGGAAGCTTGAATTTAGATGGAGAACCAGATGGAGAAGCACTTTTGTTTTTCAACTGGACTTCAACCTCTGGAGCAGGAATCGTCACCTCAGTCTCTTTGATCTCAGTGTCTGGCACAGATACTCCTTCTTTTTGAAGACTGGTGTTAGCATCAGGGATCTTAGTGTCAGATTTGGAAAAGCCAAATTTTGGAAACGAAATTTTACGTTTTTTAAGTTTTTCTTTTTCTTTACCCTCTGGGATGACTACATCTACTGTTCCTGAAGGAACTTTGACTCCCATCTCAAGTTTCTCGGCTTGCACTTTCGAATCTTCTATAGTTGCTTCTTGATCAAGACCATGACCTACAAGGCTCACGTTAACCTCTGGTTTAGAAAATGCATGGTTTGGAGACAATATCTTTTCTTTTTTCTGTGCATCAAAACCCTTTTCTACCTCTGGTGTAGATACATCCACTTCAGGTTTTGAAACACTGGAAATAATTTGTGGGGTTTTCATTTCAGTTAATGATGGCAGTTCTCCAGTCAGTTTGGCTTCTGGCACTTTTATTTCCATGGTGGGTTCATCTGTGGTGACTTCATGCATTTGATTGTCAAAGACTGCATCTGTTGGTTTTGGAAATAAGACACCAAATTGAATTGTGGGAAGTGTACTTTTTGTTGGAGATCTTGGACCTTTCTCAGCCTGGTCAGACTCTGCATTTAATTTTTTGGTGTCTATAATTGATTCTTCTTTGTCAATACTATCGGCTGGCTTACAGGCTTCAACCTTCGGAAGGCTAATGCCATATTCTGGCAGTGTAACTGTAACCTCCTTGTCTACACTAACACATTGACCTTCTGTAGTCACAAAATAATCCTTGACATCACCTGATGGGGCACCATCTTTGAGTTCCATGCTTATTTGTGTTTCTGGAAGGCTTACATCAGATTCTTCAATATCTATATCTACAAAGGGCATGTCTTTCACTACCTTGGATGATTTCCCACCAAATTTTGGTAAGTTGATAGAGGGGAATTTAAACTTTACTGGTGTACCAGCAGTTGTTAGATCTTTATGTTCTGCATCATCCTTTGAAACTGTGAAATTCATTTCCATCTCTTTTAAATCCGAAGAAACTTCTGGAATGGATAAATCAACCTGCGGAAGACTGACATCAATGTCTGCAGCTTTGATGTCTGGTTTTGAAAACTCAACAGCTGGAAATTCTTCGATATCATGGTCATTCAGACTAGGATCAACCTCTGGTTTAGAAAATGAAATATCTTTAGATGATTTTATTTCTTTTTTCTGAAAATCATCAACTTTTGGAATACAAATACCTTTGATTTCTGTTTTTCCCTCAGGTAGAGACAAGTCAACTTCAGGTTTGGATGCACTGAGAGTCATCTTCAGGCCTTTTTTGTCAGATAGAGCTGTAGATTCTACAGATAATTTAGCTTCTGGCAATTTAACATCCTTTGTAGTTTCATCTGTGATGACTTCAGGCATTTGAATATCAGCCCCAACATCGGTTGTCTTTGGAAATGAAACTCCAAATTTGGGAAGTTTAATTGTGGGAAGTCTAAATTTTGTGTGAGAATCTGTTGAATCCTTGAACTCAGCTTCAACGTCTGTGGTCTTACTTTCAACATCTAGTTCTATCTCATCTGCACCTTGTGAAGAGCCCTGTGCAGTTGGAAGAGTTATGTCAGCATCAGATACTTTTGTCTCTGATTTAGAGAATCCAAATTTGGGAAATGATATTTTCCTTTTCTTCATTTTAGACTCTGTTTCTTTTATTTCACCTTGTGGTAGTTCAGATGGCTCCACTTCAGTTTTTCCACTAACCTTTATGATAGATTTTTTAGATTCCTCTGGTAACAACCCAGCTTCTTCTGTTTTCTCTTTTGGCAATGAGACACCAAAATTGATCAGTCTAAATCCACTCTCTTCTCGAGTATCCTCTGCAGCCTCAACCTTCTTGTCAACTTTCCCAACCCTTTCAGGTGTCGAGAGCGCAGTTTCCTCCTGCTTTGATTTTCCCTCTGTCTTGGGGATTTTTATTTTTGGAACAGAAACATCTATGCTTGGCATTTTTAATTTATTCAAATTTGTGTCTGTTTCTGAACTATATGCTTTGGGATCAGTCTCAGATGTTCTTTTCTCAGAATTTAATGCAATCTCTATTATGTAATCTTCTTCCACTGTAGCATCCTCTTTTGTAGTGACTTCAGTTGTTCCTTTCATTGATTTCCCTCCAATTTTGGGCATTTTGAATTTAGGCATCTTCTTTTTATGTGGAGAGGAATCTGTGTCTTTGCTTTTGCTTTTGATTTCAACCTTTGGTTCTCCTTCAACGTCTTGTTTTGAGGTTTCCTTAATGCCAGTGCAAACATCATGATGGTGCATTTGATCACCCTCTATATCATATGCTTGTTTAGTTTCATGGTCAAGTGCACAACTTTCACCTTTTTGAGATTTTTCGAATGTTGCTTCTTCAGAAGATTTTTTGATGGCTACATGGTCTTCATCAATAGATATTTTTGCTTCAGTTTTCATCTCCTTGATTGCATCACGATCACTTTTAGATGATGTATCCTTTTTTGGTAATTCAATCGTGATACCTGGGAAGCGAATGTCAGGTGTCTTGATCCCAAAACTAGGCATAGATATCTTTGCTTTCTTTGATTTCTTTTCATGTCCTTTTCTGTCAGCTTTGATATCAGTATCAGTATAGTCTTTCACAGCCTCATCTTGTGTGTCTGTATCTTTGGCTACTTTGATTTTTAGCAATTGAACTGATTGTTCAATGGCTTCCATTCCGGGTATTTCAATGTCTTCACGCTTTGGAAGTTTGAATTTTACATCTGGGGAAGTACCTGTCGTATCCCTCACTAACATTTTGCCAGATTTGGGTTTGTGGTCTGTTGGCTTGATTTTTGTTTGGTCTGTTTTGCTCTCGGTTACACTTGTTTCATAAAGATGAAATTGTTCACTTTTAGGTAATAAGATGCCTTGATCCTTTGTAGCAACAGGAGAAAGTCTCTGTTCTTCTTTATCCATTGTGTCAGGTAACTTAATGCTTATTTCTGTGCTAATGCTCGAAAGTTTACTAGGGGATCCTTTAGGTGTCATGCCAGTCTTGTCTGATTTTATTGTGATCTCTCTTTGTACAAGGACTCCTGTGATGTCTCTCTCAGGTAATTTAAAGGCAGGGAATTTTGATACTGCTTCCTTTACATCCTGAACATTAAACACTGCTTGGCGTTTCTCTGCTTTTGAGATATTTATTATCTTCTCAATTTTTTGTTCTTTAATTCTAGGAGACTTAAACTTAGTTTTTGATCCTTTGTCCTCCATGCCAGGAATCTCAATTTCCTCTCGTTTAAGGAGAGGCACTTTGTTGGGGTCTCTTTGCCTTATAGTTATTGAGTCTTCGTGGTTGAATCCAGAGAGATCCATCTTAGGTAGTTTAAAATCTGATTCCAAATTTGCTTTTTTTATTACTTCGGTGTCAGCAACCTTAGTACTCTTCCCACTTTTGTCCACTTCCAGAGCATGTGATTTTGGCTGGGATATAACTGGTGTTGACGTGATTGGTTTCTTTGTGTCCATGACCGTTAAGGACACATCTTGTTTTGTTTGAATCTCAAAAGTGAAAGTGTCTGATGATGCAAAAGGGCTCTTTGATGCGGCTATGTCTGCCATTGGTCCCCTGGTTCGAATCCCATAACTTTCTGTTTCTAGGATGTTTCTTTCTTTCTTTTCCTTGTCGATACCAATTCTTGGTGATTTGCTTATTGGTCCTACATCTGGCATGTCAAGAGAAACATCAACTTTAGTTATATCCATGTCCATTTCTCCTGACTTTTGGGTCTTCTCTGCAATCTCTTTATTTATTGGTTTGCTATCAGAATCAACTTGATGTCCAACTGCTTCAATTTGTGATATTACATTAGGACTGTCCATAATATTGTCGAATGGTGATGTATCCGAAGTTCGCATCCCACTTGTGGAGGATTTTAATTGGCTCTCTGTTTCTGTCTCATATTTATCCTTTCCTGGAATGCACTCCTTCAGTTCTGATCTCTCTCTCCTTTCTTTGTCATCCTCTCCAAGAGCAACTGTAATATCAGTAGTCTTTAAAGTAGTGTCCAAACTGATGAGCTTAACCTCATGTAGCGATTCAGTCGCTGGCAAAGTCGGGAATGTATATTCATTCCTTGTCTTAGCTGAGTCAGTATTTTCAGCTTCATTCAAGATTTTAGGACTCTCTAACACATTAATCCCTGGCACTTGCTCTACGGCTATATTCATAATAATTTGGTTGTCCAAGACCTCCATATTGTCTGTTGTTGGTACCTCTTCATTTTCTTGGATTTCTTCAACAGACTTGCTCCTACAGTCTGCCATCTTCATCTTAAGTTTCATCTTGTGTGTCTTTTTCTTCTCTTTTTCATCTGGTGATTTTAATGGAGACTTAATGGGAGATTCTGTGTCACTTGTTGGAGGACTTATCTCTAATTTTCTCTGTTCTTCTGCTTCTGATGTGCTGTGAGATCTCTTAAAATTTGCCCTGCGACCTTTGCTGAAGGTGGGGAATTTGGGCCAAGAGATGCGATCATGTTGTTTTTTTATCTTTCTTCGACCTCTCATTTCTGGTCCTCCTCCTTCCTCTTCTCGTTCAGCCTCCTCACCCTGTAAACATTGATAAAGCAATGATCATTGACATCTCTAAAGAAGCTTTGCAGTATTCTGTAATTGAATATAATGGACAGTATGATAATTACAATGGTTATATCTGGCCTCATTGTCTCAGCATCTTCCTGGGTTCTTGGAGGTGGTTTGCGTTTTAGACAGAATGCCACTTTATATGGTTGAGCATGCTCAAGAATCTGGAGGGCGTCCTCATATGACACATTATCAAAGTATACTGTAGCACTAAGAATCTGATCACCTGAAAGGCCAGATGGAAGGACACAAACATAGGATGCAAGTGAAAAGATGGAGGAAAAACAAAATTAGCTGTATTCTAGCCTCAGAAATTATCTGTAATGTGCTATATGGCATCTCACCTTCTTTCACACTTAGATTCTTTGAGGCAGGTGACTCTGGCTTTACTTCCTTGATGAAGATGCCATCCTTTCCCCCTCCACTTACAACCAAACCCTCAGCACAGACTTCTTTTTCAGTTTTCACTATTTCTGACTGATCGTTTTGCATGTCCTGAAACAAAAGGCAAAGTCATTCAGAAATCTGTTCATAATTTTCATTTTTCGCATTTCTAATCAGCTGTATTCTTCACAAGAGAGAAATTTAGGCATGTCTGACCTCTGTTTGATTCATCTTGGCAGAGGAACGCTTGTCAAACAGTGAGCCAAAACCAATCCTTTTGCTTTTTTTGGAACTCTTGGTGGGTGAGTCATAGAAGTCACCTTCAGCCTGGCAAAATAGTTAGCATGTAATCTTTTATATAGTGCAATAGTTAGATCAGATACAGCATTAGGAAATTCTGAATTTGGGTTATCATCATACATAGTATAAAAGATAAGGGTGTTGTGTAAAATAGCAGTCACCTGTTTTTCGTATTTTTCTGTGGTGGGGAATTCCTCAACAGGAGAGGAACCCTGAGGACGAGGTCTTTCCTCCTCTAAAACTTCAGGCTCCTCACATGTATGCTACATCAAAGATACCAATTAAAGATTGTTCAAACAATCAACCAGTTAGATAAAATAACACGTGTATGTTTGCTGAATCTGCTGTACTTGAGTGATACTCACTAAATCATCATCTGTGTCTGGTTCTGGTCCCTTCAGCCTTCGCCCTTCACCTGTTGTGATGAAAAATGCAGAATAAGCACTTGTTATGCTTCTGCACACATGACTGAAATTTAAAGAATTCATCCTTAATGCCAAAAGCCTGCTGGTCATAATCAGTTTTTACTGATTGGAGAGTCAATGAGGGATTTATTTGATGGACCAAAACTTTTGTATCTGCAGAATTGCAAGGCAAATCTAAAGCAAGATTTTTGTATGCAAGATTTCCTGGTAGATATTCCCACAGGATCCAGATAGTCTACTTGCTTCTGTTGCTTCCTGTAAAGTGAGGCACTCTATTGATCTGAAGGGGTTGGCTTACACTGCCAGCAATAAGGACAACATAGAAACATGGACTTCAATAGATCCAATAAAAGAGCAGTGAAACTAATATTGTTCTAAATATCTGCAAATGTGGTATTGTTAGAAAATAAATGATTAAATACAATTTTAAAAATAACATAATTTTACGGCATGAAGAAAAAAAAATTGTATGTGTTTAACAATATTATACAATAGACCGTTTAAATATTGCTTATACCAGAAGCAAGAATACTCTCATGACCTCCTTTCTTCTGAGAAAGGCATTCATTTCCAGTTTCCCATAACACAATGCACTTAAAATAAAAGGATCGTTTTGGTACATAAACATTATCCATGAGTCTCACTCTGCGCAGGCCATTAACCTGCACTTTCCAACAAGCACTTATCCAGGCATCAGGTCTAGATGGCATTAAAGCACACTGGAGATTTATGTATGTGCATGTATGCCATGTAGCACATGAATAGTATGATTACACTAGCAGATTGTTCATATCTTTTCACAGTTTCTAATAATCAGACACTAAACTTGGGAATGCACCCATGTATAAACAGATGGGGAAAAAATTCTAAATGCAAATTACCAACTATGCGCAGTTAATTAATAGACTTATTAAAGGGAGGAGAAAAATCTTCCCATATCTTTTGTTGATGTCAAAGGCTTTGTGAACAATCCAAATCAATGGTTTTAAACTGTCATTCTGTCAGTAGGCAGATGCCAACATTGACAGGTTATACATAACACACCCTTATCTAAAAAATTACAAACAAAATTACGCCTTTAAGTTTTATTAAATTGTTATCAACCACAATTAGGCTCTTTAAACCCTGTGTTTAACCAGGTAAAGCACCCTACTCTGCTTAGCACTGCCTTTCATAATAACCGAATGGTAAAGTGAGAAAAAAATAAGCCCAAGTGATATGCCAAACAAGAGAAGCCATTAGTTAAACAGGTCACACACTGTGTTCGTCCAATCAATGATATTGGCAAAAACCAATGGTTTAAGTAAACCGATGTGTATAGGAGAGATCAGGGATGATTGCATTTAAGTGAGGTTTTGGTTTAACATATGATGAACAAGCAGATGAACGACATACATAGCTGTGGTTTTGATGTTCGATATGTCATGGTGCAGATCAACAAGTTTCAACAAAGTTTTTATTCTTGCTGCTATTGTAGTTAAACAGGCTTAAGATGTTTTGTTCTGTTTCAGCTTTATAATATCTGCCCAAAACCAACTCAGTGAATGGAACTATCTTAAACAATAGGCCTTATATCTTTTGTGTTCTTTTTCCCTGACTGTTTTCAGCCTCCCCACATGTGTCAGGTTGGGTAGGATTGGCAATTTACTGTTAAATTGTAACATAGATATAAGTTTAGCATGTGCAGGGTTATTTAGTTATTATAATGAGTTATTATAGGAAGAAAAAAACATTTGCTTATTTTGAAGTTATATAGCACAAAATATTAAAAGAGGGGTAAGATGCCATTAATGTAAAATACTAAATAAACTATTTTATTTTAGCTGATAATAATTGAATAACCGATGACAGACAAAGCAGAATCCCAGTAAAAGAGATTTATCTGAAAAGTAGAATTATACTATGACTTATACAGGCATATGAATATTTACTTACTTAATTGCCCATGATTTACCGGTAATTGAAGATATAGGTTACACTTTAAGGCGTCCTTGTTACATACATTTAAGTACTGAATAATATTAATTAACTACATTTATGGGGTTAGGATTAGGTTTATGTTTGGTTTAGGGTTAGTTGCATGATGCAATTATGCAGAATTTATAGTAATTACTATAGAAACTACATGTAACATAAACATAACAAAGTCTTACCAAGATATTTCATAATAGCAACACTTTGAATGCAAATTTAATGATTTCACTCAACTAATCTATAGATTTTAATGAAATAAAAGATGTCTGAAATGTACATCTAATTCATGGAAATACTGAATAATGACCCAGTTGATTACAATAATTATTAAATTTAAAAATAATAACACTAGTAACAACATGGCACTTGGGGCCTTCTGTGCCAATTCTAAGAATAGAAGTTATCAATTTTACTCCACAAATCTAAAAACATGAATGTGTCCACAAATCCCTCATTAACAAATAAACACAAAAAAACTTTGATATTCAACATAATTCAAATTAAATAGATCACTATTTTCACTAACCCTAACCTCAAAACTGTTTCCGCAGACTTAATCTCACAAATGTTGATATTCAGTGGTACTGTATGTAACAATTATGAATACAATACATACAGTATGTATAATGTAAGTTATTTAAAATGCAAATCAACACCAAAATGTGTTGAAATCATTCCTGGGTTCTTATGCTTCAGTTCCATTTGGATTACAAATAAATATGTGAGCTCTGCTGTTGGTGTTGTGAAATCAGTTTAAGCTTGTGACTGAAGGTTCAGGTAACATACTGTACTAATCACACCTTATTGCCTTTTTTATGTTACTGAGATATCTTGACGTACAAACACTAAGAATAATCCATGTGCCAACATCAAAATAGCCTTGTCTGGCTAAATTAAATCTAAAAAAATTAATAATTATAATGCTTTGTATTTCTAAAATATCATGTTTGCTGCATTTTAATGACTCTGACAAATGCCTCTCCAGGTAAGCATTAAAGGTTAATAATATTAGGTTTGTACCTACCTGATCTGTGGTTTACTTGGAGGAATATATGTTTTACTATATTCCAGATAGTAATTCACCTAGTGCGCAGCAAGAATGGACAGAACCGTCTCTGGGTATAGTTTAAGTAGAGAAGATGAAGGGCCCTGCCTTTTTTTTTAAAGGTATGACACAACAGGGCTGTGGTTCAAGCTCCTGCTAATGCTATTGTGCTGAAGAACAAACATGTGAATGTGTTGCACTGCTTGCACACGTTCACAAATGTGAGGTCTTGAGATTTTAAGTGTTTTTTCTAAGTAAAGAATCGCAATGAGGGTGTTTATGTCCCTCTGTTCTCCGATGAATGTTTTTTTTTTGTTTAAATTTGAGTTGAAGGACATAGTTATTACATTAGTGTACAGTGGGATGTGAATGCAGAGTGAAGACAAGATCTTGTGCAGTTTAGGGATATTGTACTGTGCTTTTAGTCACACAATGAATAAATAAACAATAAGAGCTTAAAGAATGGATCAGTTTACACAATGAGAAGCAAGCTGTCAATCTCATAATGACAGTATGCCTCTCTCTCTCTCAATAAATATTTGAACCATATTTATTTGTCTTTAACTGATCTGGACATGAGTGCTGTTGGATTGAATTGTTTAAGAAATTCAAAGTTAGCAAATTCATAACGTAGTTACTCCCTAATCAAACATTTGCTCATTGGGTGCTGCTCTAAAAGTGATAAGAATGTGTTTTATGCAAGTAACCAAGCCAAACTATTTAACAGTATGTGATTTGTATGAATATAGGAACTCCTGTAATACTACTGATAAAGATAAGGAAAATATGTAAATTCCCATCTGCGAGTTTTAGTTCACTCAAAAATGAAAATTCTGTCAGTAATTACTCACCCTCATGTTGTTCCAACCCCGTAAGGCTTTCGTTCATCTTCGGAACACAAATTAAGATTTTTTTGATGAAATCTGAGAGCTGGCTCACTCCCTCATAGGCTGCTAGGTAATTGCATCTGCCGGCCCAGAAAAGTTAGTAAAGACATCGTTAAAATAGTACAAGTGGCTCAACCTTAAGTTTATCAAGCGACGAGAATTTTTGTGCGCGAAAAACAACAAAAATAACAACTTTATTCAACTTTTCTTCAGTGTGCAATTACCTAGCGGCCTATGAGGGAGTGAGCCAGCTCTCAGATTTCATCAAAAATATCTTAATTTGTGTTCCGAAGATGAACGAAAGTCTTACGGGGTTGGAACAACATGAGGGTGAGTAATTACTGACAGAATTTTCATTTTTGGGTGAACTATCCCTTTAAAATTGCGGGAATTTGAAAATTCTTTATTTCTCGGAATTTCGACTTCATTTTTCAGAATTCAGACTTTATATCACAATTTGACCATAATATCCAACGCATTCTCATCCCAAGGGGTCATATACCGACGCTTTTGCCAAACCGTCTACATCCGACGCACATGGCACCCTTTAGCGTCAATTAACACGCTTCGGTTATGGGTAGGTTTAGGTCTGGGGTAGTGTTAGGGTTAGACCACTAGGAGGCACCATATATCTGCGTCTCATATTGACACTAAAGGGTGCCATGTGCGTTGGATATAGACACTTTGGCAAAAGCGTCAGTAGCCTATATGACGCCTTGGGATGAGAGATAAAGTCAGAATTGCATGTTTATTACGAGTTTCTGACTTTTTTCTCAGAATTGTGAGATATAAACCTGCAATTGCGAGTTTTCAAGTAAGAATTGCAAGATGTAAATTCCCTATTGCGAGTTATAAAGTCAGAATTGTATTTTTTTTTTTTTATTCTGTGACGTAACAAGCTTCCATAGAACCTTTTGAGCATGATAGAGATGGTCGCTGTGAAATGTGGTTGTATGGAAAAGAGCTGCATGAAATTTCTCGAAAAATTCTCTTATGTTTCACCGTAATAATAACAGACAGGTTTGGAGCAACAGGTGAGTAAATAATGAATTTTCATATTTAGGTTAAGTATTTAGTATAGTAATGTACTTATTATATGCATGATTAATCATTTAAAAATGCAATATTAAGTCCAAAGGTCCAAACCTTTTACAGACCTCCTTAACTGTAGTATTGTGAATGCATGTAGTATTCAAATTACAACAAGATTAGTACAAGCATGGACTTTCCCAACTACTGATCCTGTATGTTTGCACATCACCCATGACCAAGATTACAGGCATTAGAGGTTGTTTTCTGCTCCTGTGGCCATATGGGCCCAGAGCTCTGCTCCTTCGGCTCACTAATATGGTTAATTAGCTTCTCAGCAAGTTACAGGGAGAAGGAACATCAATTCTGGCTTACGCTCATAACATCCTACACAAGCCTCTTTCAGTCAAGTGGGAAAGACTTGTTTGTATTCAAAATATAATTGAATTTTAGGGCCGGAGAGGGAAAATAAACTGAAAACAGAATTGGATTTTCTTCCATATTAAGAGAACATGGGACCAGTTAACCTCATGTTTCCAATCAATCAGGAACATTAATTGATACATTTATGTGCCAATGAGATAATGGCTTTAGAATTGATGGATTAAAGATAGAGTTCTTCCAGAAATAAATTCTGTCATCTTCCCAAATCTTACTCACCGTCATGTCATTACAAACCTGTATGTTTAATAAATAATAAGACATTTTCAAGTTTTTTCCTCCATACAATGAAAGTCAATGCTGAATGGAACATATTAACTTACAAAATATCTTGAATCATACAGGTTTGGAATGGCATGAAGTTGAATAAATGATGACAGAATTTTCTTTTTTGAATGAACTTTCCCGATAAATATCTCACAATATGAAAAAAAACAACAAAAAAAACACAAGGTCATGATTATATACTCATATTATCAGTTCAGATATACAAAACCTTCTCTCAATTTATTTTGTTCATGTTCAATTTCAATGTTCAGCCGATCACACAAACCACGAAAAATGCGAACACTCTCAAACTCATCATTTATTCATTAGCGGGAGGACATTAGTGAGATGCTGATAGTTATTACTTATTTTAGGAGTGGACTCCAGTGCATATACGTATTTTATGGACTGCTTATCCACTAATGTTTGTAGAGCTTCTCTATAAAAGTGCTTTTTTTTTTACTTTAAAATTCCTAATAACTAAATTTAGTATGTAAAGTCTTGTTAAATATAGATGTTTGTTTCACTTTATAAGGTAACCAACAGTTAACCAAACAGGTTATTATAGCATTGCCCATTCTTTTTACATTGTGCATGCTGGCCAATTAATGCACTAATTCAATATGTACAGTCAAAACATTAGTTTTTTGATTGAATTTTGATTTATCTTATATCAATTTTCACACTTTGAGAATCTAAGCATAGAGCCAAACCCATCTGTCACAGGACAGACTTTATTTGGGTGAAAACTAAATTTTGACAAAATAATGTTACCTAAGTACAGCTGTATAGAATAATTTACCTTTTAAGTATACTGACATGATATCCTTGCTATGTACTCATCTTAGTGTGATTGTAATTCAATCATTTTCTCAGATAGCACAGAGTGTGTGTTAATGCAATCTCACAAACTTTCAACATCATGCAAAAGCTCTAGAATGAAACATTGCAAAATCATATCTGTATAAAACCAGAGCACAAAAACATTCTTGGTTATATATAGCAATTAAGCTATCGTGCAGCTGTTGAATTGTGAGATGTATTGGTTGCTCATTGAACTCTGTAAGATCACTAAAATATAGCTGTCGTCTCATTTAGGTTATACTTTAAGTGTCTGTTTGTATGTTTCCATAGCTTGAAGTTCAACTGAAGGTCAAAGAAAAAAACTAGTTGCTAGTTGAACTGGACAGGACATGTTGACCAAATGACTGAGCGGTTTGGTTAACAGGCTAATTGGATTTCAAAGTCTTTGTAACGAAGCCAAAAGGAGCCGTTACTGTAACATAGAATGACACAACCAAAGAGAGTTAAAACATTAGACAAAAAAGGTACATAATAAGATATACATATGCCAAAATCTCTCCTAAGTCCAAGACACCACAATGTGTGTGTGTGTGTATGATGGCTCCCTGATTACTCGTGAATTTGATATATTCTATTTATTTTAGAATAGTTTATACCTATATGATGTATCTAATTTTATTTTATTTTATTATATATATAAATGTGTGTGTGTATATATATATATATATATATATATATTAATAATTAAATAAATAAATATATATATATATATATATTATACATATAATTTTATTAAATATAATTATATATTATATAAGTATATACAATTCTAAAAATAAATAAAATATATAAAATCCTTTACTAAGAATAAAAGATTGTATAATATTTGTGTGTGTGTGTAAATGCTCCCTATTTTACAATTGTATATACTTATATAATTTATGTAATTATATACATTAATGTATATAATTATATTTTATAAAAAGTATTTGTTTATTTATTATAAATGTATGCATTATAATTTTCTTATTATGAATTTAAATATAAATATACTGTATGTGTGTGTGTGTGTGTGTGTGTATATATATATATATATATATATATATACACACACACACATATAGTATATATATATATAGGCCTATATATATATATACATTGAAATAAAACTGCGCACCTTTTTAAAATAAATTGTCCAATTTTACTGTAAAAATACACAAAAATAAGACCTCAAGCTTTCGTACGCCCTCGTAAAGAACACAATCCAAATTCAGCAATTCTTAAACGCACTGAAATCATGCTCAATATTGTAAACAAACACACTGCAGATGCTGTTGATAAAATACTGCATAACTCTGTTGACACACCCACGGCCACATAGCCACGCCCCCTTTACTGCAGACACACCCAGATCACACACAGTGCAGCGTCATCTCAGCAGAGAAATGCAGTGATGCTTGTAAACAAGCTCAGCACTAGTGTCTCAGTAACACACACATGCATAGTCCAACTGCAACATTATATTGTCCTGCCACCAGAGGTGCTGAGTGCGGAGATAAAAATAGCACAGAGCAGGCAGAATGAGACAGAGCGAGAGAGAGAAGAAAAGCTAAAGAGACAGAGCAAAATAAAGAGGGATGCCCACCCGTGGCTGACGCATGCCAGTTGGGAAATGCCAGGTGAAAACAGTCACACATGATGGCTGTCTCCGCTGGATCTTGATCTGGTTTCTGGTGATGTCCTGTTTCGGGCAGCCTCACTCTCTTCCTCCGAGTCTAAACAACCTGCTTCTTTTTTCCTCTCAGTCCGTCACTCCAGATACAAGGACAAAATAAAGAGTCGGTGAATGATAGCAAAGTCAGTCTGACTTGGTATGTGAGGGATGGACGGAGAAAGATGTCTTGCTCCATCCACACAAGTTTGTCTCAGGAGTGAAGCTGCACACTCTCTAACACGCTAAAACGATTAAAGGGGGTATGGCTGACTTGGGACGGGGGGGCTGTCCTAAACAACACAAATCCCTCCTTCTAAGCATCCCACTCCACCCTCCTGATCACTTTTGACCAGTCACTGCAGAGACGCTCTGGACCGTCCACCAGCTTATTGGTTCAACGCACAAGAAAAACATTCCAGCTTTATAGACATGCGGCAGAGATGCGTAATTGGATTTGACACCACACAGTACATGTTTTCATGTGTGATGGGTGACAGAAGGGGAACTGAGGACGCTGTTTGTCAGGTGACTGTGTTTAAGAGAAGCTGTTTACCTGAGCTGTCTGATGACAAACTTTATATGTATGATGTGTGGTTTTGTCTGATATAGTGTTGGGAGACGTGTTTGGCCGTGAGACCATGGCTAAATTATTTATCATTTCATGTCTAAGAATAAAAAAATGATCTCAGAAAGGTGCCAGACTGTGACGTCAACCTGAGACCAGTTCAGCGCCACACACAGACAACAGCAGTCGTAATTTACGGCCTTTGTGGATCTAAATCAAATCAGTTAAAAGAAAAGTCTTGATTTTTTCCACCTCATGGGACAGAAAAATCACAAATAAGAGCTCCTCGGTATCTCATCTTTAGTATCTTCAGTATCTAAGAAGTTTTTCTCAGGCAGTTATATTTGACATTGCCGCAGTCTCCTGTTTCTCCGATGTTTTTTCCCTGAGAAACCTAATAATCTCAAATGCGTCTCCTCTAGACTTTCAGAAGAGATCTCGATAATAGCTACATTTACGTGCATCGAAATAAACTCTTAGGCATCAGATTGATTGCTCAGTCTGACTGAAAGCACCTCAATAAATCTAATTGGGCTCGATCCAAATGAAATTTCGATTGGATTGAAAGGGGTGGTCTAGACCTGAAATAATCCAATCTAAAGAAAAAAATGTATTATGTAAATGCTTGAATCCGACTTTCTCAGTCAGATTCAAAAATACCTTGCACAGATGCATATGTTAACATACATTTTACATCTTAAAAATGTGAGTATGTTTATTTACTTCTCACGTCTTACCCCTCACGTCATTGGAAGAGACTGAATATTTACTATATATTTGCTAAAAAGCTCTTTTGACATATATGCTCCGGGGACATTATCACAGTGCCTTTCTCCGGTTCAGAATGTGGTGACGGGGTAATACGCATGCACATTAGGGCTTATGTAAACAGAATATTCAGAATCAGAAATCAGATTGGATTCATTCAATTGAGGGAGATTAGTGACTCAAACTGTGTTGAAATTGGCTAAGATAGCAAAGTCTGCCATCAAAAGTCAGAGATCTCAATAGTCGAATGTAATCTGGACGTACTACATCTGCCATGTTGTCATTATCATGTGACCTACCAGCCTCAGTTACGTCGCTTCACCTCCATTCATAAATCCTCTCCCGTGGCCTCATGGGATAGTAAAGTGTCCATCGAATGCGCACTTCAGAATCTCGCCGGTCATCCGGAGATTTTTTGCCTTCTGTTTTTCGAATACTATATGTATTCGGATATACTACTCTGTTGGTGCACTGTATTTTCACAAACTATATAGTAGGGAAGTATGCGATTTCAGACGCAGCCCGAGTCTTTTACATAAAAATCATTTTTCAGGCTTTTATCGACAAGGAAGTCGGGGGAGGTCATGTTTTTTAAGTTTCGGTACAAGTTATTCACACATTGGCTATACAAAAAGCGATTAATACATGAAAATTCTCACATATAGCCCTTTTAATGTGATTATTAGTGTGATTACCCAACCCGATCACACTAAATGCGTCTCTATAGCACGCAGTGTGTTTATCGTGTAATTTATACGCGAAAATTTGTTTTTACGTGCAGAGGATACGCATGGGTTGGTTAGGATAGGTTTAGTAGTCGTGTGGGGTGCGTGTGTATTATACGTTTGGGTAGAATTAGTGGTGTGGGGTGCGTGTGTATTACACGCAAATGAACTGCGTATCAAATGCACGCGAAAACTGCGTATCATATGCACGTAAAAACTCATTTTCGCGTATAAATTGCACGATAATACACAATGCGTGCTATAGAGACGCATTTACGTGAGAACAGGCTGGATTACCAGACAGGTTGAATTCTGATTAAAGAGGCTTTCTATAAAGTTTAGCAAAGTCATTCGAAGGCATCAGAGATGCTTATTGGTGGCGACGACATGATACATTTCTGAAAGATTTTGATCAAATTTTTCTGTAAAATCTTGTGTATGGCAAATAAAACATGGTTTGAAGTTTGGAGTATTTATGTATAGACATATATTCCCTGCTATGCGTGCATGTATGTATGCACTCTTGATTCGGATAGTTTTGCCTTAGCATCTTGTAAACAGAAGGATCTCTGTGTTTCATATTCAGCACAAATGTCCATTTCTCTTTATGTGTCTGCATCTGAGACAGGGAGTGGCAGGATGATACTGCATTAGCCACTGGCTGCTGCCCAAGAAACTCCACACCGAAATCAATTTAGGCACTTGAAAAAAACTGAATGTGCCCTGCCACCATCCTTGCCTACACTTCGTCTGCCAAGCGTGCAGAGACATCTTCAGCCATTATGCACCACATATTCTGTGAATATTGAAAAGGTAATTCATCCTCTAAATTATTTATTTATATATTAACATGAATTTGCTGCCACAAATTCAGTGCCATGTACTGACCTTCCGCTCATAGAGTGGAAAGTTTGAATACGGTAGGATTCAAAAGACTGTAGGGTTTTTGCTGATAAGTAGATGCTTTTAATCTAATGCAAATAACACTGTTTTAACCATTTACAGAGACAGTGATTTTGGAGCAACCTGTTGCTTTGGCTCAATGGACTTCATAAAGGGGAGACGCCATATTTAATCTGACGAGAATGTAAACGAGACTGTGAGGGATATTTAGCGTCAAACTATGTCTACACTGCACTATACAAAAGCTGTCACTCAGGGTTGTACCCTTTAAAAAGCAGTGTTGGGGGTAACGCATTACTAGTATTGTGTTATGTAATCAGATTACCTTTTTCAAGCAGCTAAGTAAAGTAACTCATTACTTTTAAATTTACAAGAAAATATCTTAAGTTAATTTTCAAATAAGTTATGCAAGGTACTTTGTTTTCCCATTTATTGACTGACACCTCTTCTGTCCGCATGTTGAGAGAAATCGAGTGCAGAGGCATTGTGCGTGCGCTGTGTTGTGTATGACGGTTATTGTAGTTCTAGACTAACGTGAGCATGCATTTACTAATTTCACAGATTCAGTATTCCTCAAAATGAATAAAAACAGTGAAATGCAAACTCAGAACATTACGCAAACCTGCAATAATTAAATATGTTAAATAACACAAATATACTTTATGTATTTAATCTCATTTAACCAGTGTCTTTCCTGATTACCTTCGATGATCCAATTCAACAATACTAATAAGCAAAAAGAACTTTAGATAAACATCATGTTTGTTCCATTTTCTGTCTTTATTTCTGAAGTAAAGGTGTTGAATTTTCTTCTCCTGTGTCCTATTCTTCTGCAATTTCAGAAGCATATCTGAAAAGTTAGTTAGAGCTGTAATGTGGCTTCAGTGTTGACCGATCGTTACCAATTGAAAAAAGCTGTAAAAAACAAACAGCAGACCCATCCCAGATGAGAAAAAGTAACACAAAAGCAAAAGTATAACATTTTCTTACCATGAAATGCAACTGAGTAATGCAGTTATTGTAGTTACTTTTTTAGGGAGAAACACAATATTTAATGCATTACTTTTAAAAGTAACTTTCCCCAACACTGTTTAAGATACTAATATACCTTTAAGATTCTAATATGCACCCTATAGGGGTAAAGAACTTACGAAAGTGTACCTTTTATAAGATTTCAATCATTTAATTGTTCATTGCAATTAAATGAAAATGTATTATCAAATTTGTATAGCTATAATATTGTACATTATGTGGTTTGCTAATTTGTTCAGTTAAGCTAATGCCACAAACATTTTAGGCAGCAATTACAACTTGTGCTCATATAATGATTACAACATAATGATAATATTAGGATAATATTTGAAAGTTTTGTGTTTTGTAAGTTGCTGTCATCTGAAAATTTCACAATTGTCAGCGTCGCATGAAGTCATTGCAAAAGCTGGAACGAAACTGGAGCTGACACAACCTGTAGATACTCCAGGATGAGCATACTGAGGTAGAAACAGGGACGTAGCTGCTGTTCATAACATTTTAGGCAAAAGATGATAATGTACACTCACCTAAAGGATTATTAGGAACACCATACTAATACTGTGTTTGACCCCCTTTCGCCTTCAGAACTGCCTTAATTCTACGTGGCATTGATTCAACAAGGTGCTGAAAGCATTCTTTAGAAATGTTGGCCCATATTGATAGGATAGCATCTTGCAGTTGATGGAGATTTGTGGGATGCACATCCAGGGCACGAAGCTCCCGTTCCACCACATCCCAAAGATGCTCTATTGGGTTGAGATCTGGTGACTGTGGGGGCCATTTTAGTACAGTGAACTCATTGTCATGTTCAAGAAACCAATTTGAAATGATTCGAGCTTTGTGACATGGTGCATTATCCTGCTGGAAGTAGCCATCAGAGGATGGGTACATGGTGGCCATAAAGGGATGGACATGGTCAGAAACAATGCTCAGGTAGGCCGTGGCATTTAAACGATGCCCAATGGGGCCTAAAGTGTGCCAAGAAAACATCCCCCACACCATTACACCACCACCACCAGCCTGCCCAGTGGTAACAAGGCATGATGGATCCATGTTCTCATTCTGTTTACGCCAAATTCTGACTCTACCATCTGAATGTCTCAACAGAAATCGAGACTCATCAGACCAGGCAACATTTTTCCAGTCTTCAACTGTCCAATTTTGGTGAGCTCTTGCAAATTGTAGCCTCTTTTTCCAATTTGTAGTGGAGATGAGTGGTACCCGGTGGGGTGTTCTGCTGTTGTAGCCCATCC